TTTTGACAAAACTTTAAAGGTAAAAAGATCAAAAAGAGATGAAAGACATGTTCTTGATGTTCATAATATATTTTTCCAGCAACAAGAGTAAAAAACAAAAATGGCACACAAGAACCTAAAACTCAAGAAAAACCCTAAAGCACAAAAGGAGGCTCATGAATAAGCAATGAACCATGGAACAACATGAGATGACATTTTTAATAAGGTTTTCATGGATGACAATGAACTCAAAGATGACACAAAACAAGACTAAAAAAAAGAAAAGACTCAAAGAAATGGAAAGGAAGCTAGTTACCCTTGAAGATAACCTAAGCTCTTGATACCAAATGATGGACTCCTTCCACCAAGGGGATGATCAAACCTTCAATGGTGAAGAGGAGCTCCTTGCCAAGGCCAAGATGGTGACCTTAGAGGGTGGACGTTCCTTCAAGGGTGAGGCTAAGTGATGGTGGGCGTGAAAGGTGGAGTCTTGGGCGAATAGGAGAAAGGTAGGGAGGATGGTGTTTTGGGTGTTCTAGTTGGCTCTCTTCACTAAGTGGAGGTGAAGGCCATTCAAGGTATCCCTAAACTCACTCTAAGGAGGAGATAAGAGAGGTAGGCCGAATTGACCTAGTGACTAAGGAGAGGATTTGAGGCAAAAATGCTCACTCAAATTCATATAATCCAAAGTATTTACATGATGCATAGCCTAGGGTATTTATAGGAGTGGGAGGCATCTAGGGTTGCATTTGGAGAGTGCATGGACGAAATTCACAAGCCAAATGCACACCAAATGAAATGCAAATGAACCCTAGATGCAACTTGGTGGCCAAGGATGGAATCTTTGGGATTAGTTAGGCTACATCTAGGTGCATGATAAGACCATGCAACCTTTGCCCTCCACTTGGGCCTAAGCCTTTCTAACACCAAAAATAGGTCCAAGAGCCACAAAAAATATGTCTAGGTTTTGTTCCCACCCTAATCAAATACCTTAGCCCAAAAATAAAAACCTATGATCTAAAGCACCCCATAATACAAGAGTAAAATGGGAAATATAAAAGAAAATAAATCCTATGACTAAAATACCCCAAAATACAAGGGTAAAATTGGAAATACAAGTAAAATAGATCTTATGTCTAAGATACCCCAAAATACAAGGGTAAAAATGGAAAATCAAAGACAAGGGCAAAATAGGCATAAAGATAAATTCTAGGCTATCAAAGCTTAGGAGAGTGATTAGTGTATTTTAATCTTGAGAAGCATGTCTTCTAAGGTTTTGACTTCCCTATCCTCTTTCACTCTCTTAGCCATTGGCTTAGTGATGGGTCTCACATGAAGCTCCATGGATGGTCCTCCATCAGTTACACATCTATTGCTTCAACTTACAAACCAATTGCTCAAATATTCAATCAATACACACAGAACATCACAATTTTACTAATTCATCCAATTTAGTCCAAAACCCCCAAATTCATACATAATAACCCTAACCCTCAAAATGCTTAACTTCATGACTAAATAAATTAATCAGAACAACATACGTGATTCATAAACAAAATAGTAATAAATTCACACTTATATTCATACACATCAATACAATCTAAACAAATAACCTAATAAGCTTATGAATTGTCTATACTCTTATCCCTCATATATTCCCTTGAATTCGACAATCTCACTCCCCTACCTAGAGTGATGATCTTGCCGATCAATGTGCTTCCTAACACTCTGGCCTCTAATTTGCACCTTTCTCGATGGTCTCCTCTAGGTTTTCACCTGCGAGTACTCCAGATTTTTTAGAAGACGAGAAATAATCTAATCTCCCTCTTTTACTTTTTTTTAATTAGTCTCCAAGTTGGGCCTAGAGTCCGGTCCAAAACTCTTTAATTGATCTCTCTCCTTTTATTTTATTAATAAAACATTCCCCTTAGACTGTAATCTATTTATTATTAGTTTTTTTTTCAAATGGGATATTACATAGCCTATCATGTCGGCTCAATATTGATAATTTTCGTTGTCAATGAATATCATAAATTTGAATATACTGTTCAAATTCAATAACATTAATATGGCTAACAAAGCATTGATATTTTCTCATTTTTGCTATTTTTTTGGCTGTTGTTAAAAATTTTAGGTGAGTTGGGTCTTGGGAGCTCATCAGGGCCATGTAGGCCTCAAGGCTCTATGAGCACTCAAGTTGTGTTTCATTACCAACTAGACCAACCTATGTTGGCCTCATTTTTTTTTGGTACCATGGTATTGGTGGGAGTATCCTCCAGCTTCGCCAAGACTAGTTTCCCTCAGGACTTTGATTGCATTAAGATCATCCTTCCCAGTGTTTTTTTTTATCAAACCCAAGACTCAGTCTCGAGTTTGAGTCTTGGGTTTAATAAAAAAAATAACATATGGAGGGATAGCCTTAATATAGTTGAGGTGAGCAGTCTAAGTGACTTAATTATACCAAACCAACATGATCTTTATAACGCCTTTCACACCTGCTAGGTCAACAACTAAGTTTAGATACCAATTCATAATTATATGATTTCAGATGTCACCACTTAAAAGAGGAAAGTTCAATACCACCATCAAGTATAACATAACTTGAGTATGGACTTACCATGACATTGACATGCATTAATCAAGTTCCCTATGGATTACAACCCAACTAAATATCCTTATGATATCATGCACCTTTCCAATAATCAGTTAAGGGTTGTAGCATTTGACTTTATACCTTACTCCAATGTCAACTAAGGACCTAGAGGAGACTCACCAATCCACTCCAAGAGTTAACGCCTACTCAAAGAGGGTTTTCAACAATTAGGCTCATAGAGTATCATACCAATATCCACACAATGGAATATCCAACTTTTAAGAAAACATCATCACCTTTAATCTTAAGTCAATCAACATGCCTAAATGCCTATAGAACTCTCAACATCAACATCTCAACAAATCAGGCCTAAATGTCAAAAATATTCTCAACATCAACACTTTGACAGGTCAAGATATAATCATCTATATATTATCTCAAATCAGTATACATAGAACAAATATCATCAATCAACATAAAATATGCAATAGATTCATCTAACCTATTCATGTTCACCAAAATCACAATTCAACAACAAGATTTTTCAAAGTAAACCATGCTTAGGGCCATGCACGTTGTGCCCGACACCATTTAGGTTGGGAGCTCTTTGTCTCGCCCATGTCTGAAGCCATTCAACCTATGCCTAGTGTGGTTAAAGTAGGGAATCTCTAGGACCCTTATGCTTGGCATGGCAAAGTCCCATGCTTGGCCCCACACTATGTAGAGACGAGTCTCTCTCTTCTCACACTCGATGCCACTCCTCTGACACCCGATGCTAATCTAAGCAAAGACAATTATCTCACCTAACACTAGATGTCATTCAAACTAGACCCATTGCCATTTCAACTCAAGACAATTCTCTCCCCTCAAGCCCGACCTCACCAATCTTGCACTCGACGTGAGAGAGACAAACAACCTCTGATTGAAACCACACTCAGTGCCATGAAGGTGCTCTCGACATGATGATGAGTTCTACACATAACAAACCTTGAATTTGGCTCAAACCATCTAAAAAAATATTAGATTCTAAACATGCAAAACACTAAACAACACACGAACACCACCAACAACTCATACTTAACAAGAAACTCAACATGCAACCAAAGATTATCTCAAATCATCAAATTCACCTTAACATGTTCAAAACACCAAAAGTTCAACATATCTCATTCTCAACTCAACAACCAAATCAGCCATGAATTCAAAGAATTTCCAATACCATACAATTCATGCATCACCACAAAATCAAATAACCTAACTTCCCTTACCTTAACTCCAAGCAAAAAAATGAAAAAGGAATTCAAAGGGTTCTAATCTCCAGGCTATCACAAGCTCCGCACGTACACCACCTTGATTCTCAACTATCTGACTTTGAATCAACAACCAACAACAATATTTACACACCTGGGATGCCTAAGAAGAATAAGAACTTTAAAGCTCCTTTCTCTAGTATCGTTGTAAAGTCCTCTACGAAATGAGCTTATGAGGCTCAAGTTTCAAAAGAATCTTATATATTCCTTTCCTCAGGGTCAAATTAGACCTCCACCTAGAAAAATCCTCTAAAATACCTAAAGACTCCTTAGAAGTTCCTTAACTTCAGAGTCTCTTAACACTACAAACTTATAATTATTGCTAAAAAGATAATAATTAACAAAAACTTACTGTGTTACACTACCAATACTTTGATATTAGAAAATAAATGAGGCCAACAAAGGTTGGTCCAGTTAGTGATGAAATACAATATAAATGCTTATAGTGCTTTAAGGCTTGCTTGACCCTGGTAAACTCTTAGGATTTAATTCACCTAAACTTTTTGACAATAATAAAAAAAAAACATAAATGCAAAAATATCAATACATTGAAGATTATTCATAGAAAAATATTACGTAAAGGACATGGAACTAGAATCAATTATTTATTAAAATAATATATTAATTTTATTTTTTCTTTATTAAAACTATTATTTTTTTAAAGTTTTTTAATTAATTGTATTGTTTTTTTAAATCCATATTATTCTTTTGAAATCTTATAAAATCTTATAAATTTTCATGACATAAACTATTAAAGTTTATATTACAAAATCTTGATTATAATTTTTTTTATATAATTTATTATATTTTAAAAAAATTTAAAAAATCTTTAAAATCATTATACTCTTATAAAATTTTTTAAAATTCACAAATTTTTAATATTAAAAATTTTATAAAACCCTGATTCAATACACCTGAGAATAAAATAAAGTTAAAAATAATAATAAAAGTACACTATTTTTCATAATGTATGGAATTATTGCGACAATGTTATGTAAAGTCGAGTTTCAAAATAATAGTTTACTCTATTTTAACATAACAAACAAAAAGCACGAAAACAGGAGAGGAAGGAAGCATTCTCATAAAATTACTAACAACACCCTAGGACTTTCTTGAAAATTCCCCTCTTAACCTCGACATCGAAAGGTTGAAGTTGATGGAGGAAAAGCGCTTCTCCATGGTCCGCGCGCTAAAATAAGCAGACACGTTCAACCAAATTATCACCCTCTCGTTTCCTCCCCTTCCTCTTGGCCCCCAAAATTCTGTTTCAAAATCCTAACTCTCAATCAACCAACCAACCCAAACTTCCACGACATGGAACCCCCGAAGCCCGAAACCGAGCCCGAAGCCCACGCCCCCAACGGCCACTCCACCGCCCCCAGTGATGGATCGGGATCGGAACAGCGCACTCGGAAGGAACGCACCGCATCGTCCGGTAGCACGAAAAAGTCCGTGCACTGGAGCCCCGAATTAGTTACAGAATCCACCTTCACGTCTTCCCCTCGCGAATCGCGCTCCAATCCATACTTTTCCAACTCCTCTTCTTTCTCTCAATCCCCCTCCCCCTCCTTCATGGGTCAGTATTTTTTTTTTATTTTTTTTTTTGTAAATTATTTTTGTTCCCTTGCATTCGCGTGGATGCGTATTTTTGCTTCGTTTGTGACCAGAGACGGTGGTGACCGTTCGCAATGTGCTCGGAAGATGGGGTCAGAAGGTGGGAGAGGCTACTAAGAAGGCTGAGAGTCTCGCTGGGAACACGTGGCAGCACTGTAAGTTTTCTGTTATTATTTTATTTGTTGTTAAGTTTTTTTTTTAATTCTTAATTGGGTGGTAGCTTTTGATCGGCCAAATATGGGGATCTGTAGAAACTTTGTGATTAAGGAAACTGGTGTTAGACTTGTATAGATTTAAGTGTGAATTGGATTGGGATTAAATGTGTTTTCAGTTATGAAATTTTGTCAATTTGTATTTTTAGTTTTTGATTTTTTTTTTTTGTTTTGTTTTTTTAGTCTTTTAGATTCTCCTTGAACAAAATACCTTGACCCAGGGGACAAAAATGTTAACGAAATGAAAAGTTCAGGAACTAGAAGTGAAATCGGCCATAATTCAGGAATTAAAACTATAAAAAAATTGTTTAAAGACTAAAAATGAAAATCGACAAAAATTTAATGGCTAAAAACATATTTAATCCATTGGATTATTGGGTATCCGTCAAAGGTATGTTCATTTGGTTTTATGGTTTAGTGTATAAGGAGCCCTCTGTCATTGGGTTCCTTTAAAGGTGTGTGATCACACATTAAAATAGTTGCCGGTGATATTGTTATCCTTTCTATATTTCCCACGTGGTCTTTATTATCTTCTTTTGAGTTGTTTTGGTGGCAAGAGGATGTACCAAACTAAGTTTGTTTGCAAATGTTTAATTGGCGTTCAATGGAAATTTTACACATTCCAATTCATAATTGTAAAAGGAAAGCAAGTGTTGGATTGGTGTACCTTTGAATGAAACAAAATTCCAAACACACACTAGCCCTTGTTTATGAGTCTATGACTATAAGTTGGATGCGTTTTTTTTCTGCTAGTGTGGTACAACTTATCATGCATTTCCGTGGTGTGCACGTCAGCATGTCAACCAGTGGTTGTATTGAGCAGTCTGCAGTATTATCGTTTTGCTTTTCATGTTATAATAATAAATGTACTTGATGGATCTTCTGTGTCTTGTTATTTTGCTCTTCATGTTTTAATAATCAATGTATTTGATGGATCTTCTGTGTCTTATTATTTTCTTCCCTCGCGTCATCATTGATAACAATGAATCTTCTACATTAAGTAACTGAAATATACTTGTTTTGTTACGTTGTGCTTAAGTGAAAACAAGTCCTAGCTTTACTGAAGCTGCTATGGGGAGAATTGCCCAGGGAACAAAGGTCCTGGCAGAAGGTGGATATGAGAAGATTTTCCTGAATACATTTGAGACAGGTCCAGAGGAACGGCTCAAGAATTCTTTTGCATGTTATCTATCCACGTCAGCTGGTCCAGTAATGGGAATTCTGTATATATCCACGGCAAAGATTGCATATTCTAGTGACAATCCTATTTCCTATAGAACTGAGAGCCAAATGGAATGGAGCTATTATAAGGTACATATTCTCTTGTGATGGTCAAATTGTTTACCGAATTGCTAGTCTAACTTTCTATACCCGCCAGGGTCTAAATAAGGCTCCCCTTGATATGCAATAATTTTCTATTACAATGCATTGGGTGTATCAACAGGTTTTGTAGTTTATAATTCTAGTTTCATCCGATATATCTAAGGCATATTTTCTTGACGCTCACTTGAGCTTGGTTCTAGTTATAATTCCTAAATATTTGTTATTATAAATTATAAATTACACACACATACAGTTGATCCTGGCCACAAGCCTTGAAGCTGATTATTACTGTATTTGATTTGATATTAGTGCGTATGGAATCAAGCTACAAGACCTGTTAATAGCTTTCTTAAGTTAAAAAGGGGCAGGGGGGTTGGAATCACGAGGACAAATTGTATATGTTGGTTAACTAGATAGATATTAGTATATTCATAAGGCCCTGCTGGGAGACTTGAAATTATACAGTTCTATACTCTAATATGCAAAATTATAAATATAGTACTTGTTTAATGAATTTGTCATTGAAATTGGTTTTCTATTTTAACGGGTTGGTATGGTGCATTTTGTAAAGGAATTGCAAGATGCCAATATGAAATCCCCTTTCGTATAGTTAGGCAATGGATATGCACTTGAAGGGGACTTTTATTTTGATTAAAATTGAAAATGTTTCATCTTTGTTGGCTCAGTGATGTACGCCTACAAGCTGCTAGTGTGTATAAATCTTTTTTATTAATTTTGTAAAGGTCCATAAATCTGGAATTATATTGTATTTCATCATCTTAATGTGGTCTTTGGTCAGGCATATAATATTATTAGATCTTGAGTAGATGTTGAATACAGATAATAGTATTATTTAACATAGAGGAGTACTATTCTCAGACTATTTCAGAGATTTATGGTAGTTGGTGCTGTGGCAATTAAAAGTATCTTCTCAACCCCAAGTTTTTGATAATGACTAGCTTCGTTCAAAGTGTGCCCCTCTCCCGATTAATAGGAATCTTCTTTTGGCCCGTCTACTATCTTCATTATCCTTCCTGAATAACTGTCAACCACCTCAATCTTATCAGCATAGCGTATCAACCGTTTATATTAAGTTTGTTCTGTATTGTCGACAATAAGGATGTGAGCAAAGCATGTCTGGCCTGCTTAAGGGTGAGACTTGATTAAAAAATAAGAAAAAATAAGAATTTAAAATTTCATGACATTTCTCCAATGAGTAGAAAAGTTAAAAGATTCCTTCATACTAAATTTTTATATGCAAAATAAAATCTGATTTTATAGAAAGAAGCTTAAAATACAAAAATGAATAATATTTGTAATGCCAGCTTTAAATCTGCTTTCCATGATAGTCAATAATCTCATTTGCTTAAACTCTTTTCTTTTCTGCAATTTCTTATCTCTGCAAAATGGTTACTTTAACACCATTATTTTCTTTGTGAATCTTTTAGTTCATGCTTTTCTGTCGTCACTTCTATTCAAGTAATTTTTCTCCCTCCGATGTTTTTTCTTCTAAAATGCACTACAAGACATGTTACACAATAACATCACATATATCTCTTACCTTATATTATATGTCTGATCTTGAATATTGTTGTATCAAGTGTTGTTTTTATGTCAGTTGATATGTGGCGTGTTATGCATCAGGTAGTCATTCCATTACACGAGCTAAAATCAGTGAATCCTTCATCAAACACGACCAATCCTGCTGAAAAGTACATCCAGGTGATCTCGGTAGACAATCATGAATTTTGGTTTATGGGCTTCTTGAACTACGATGGTGCTGTGGAGTCTCTGGAAGAAGCTCTTCAAGCTGGCAAACATATACAATCAGAAGCATAGTCTGTTCAAATGGCCCAAAGAAAAATTATAGTCTGTTCATACGCTATAGAGTTTCAAACCCCAAATATATTGCACTTATCACAAAAGTTTGTAGATTGATCATTGTGCTCTTGGAATTGTTGATAAAATATATCAAGCTAATTTTGTCAATTTTGTGGATAGAATTTACCGTAGGATCGCACCTTGGATCATTTAAGGGGGGATTCATCAGAATAGTTTTGAAAAGTTTGTGTTGACTTTTCTCTGCTTCTCGTTACTTTCTATGCTCTATTTTATTAGGGGAACTGGTTTGCAACTCTAATGCACAAATACTTTAAAACTCAGGACGTACTAGCATCTTACCTGAACCAACTACTTAGGAAGCTAGGAATCCACGCAAAGCTATAAAATTGTGGACATATATGTGTAGCATCAAGACCCGTACCTGTGTAACATAGGTGAGCAATTAAACTTTTACTATGTGCATTGATGTTCTTTTCCTCCCTTCAAGCTTCAAGCCATACATGGATTGGTTTTTTAATTATGAAAATCTCATTATCAATAATGATTTCCCCTGTGGTTCACTAAAACCGATTGTTTCTCTGAAAGTATTCTCGAGTTTTTTTTTTTTTTTTTTTTTGTAAATTTCCAGAATGTGTAATGTGACCCTCGTGTTAAGCTACACGGAAATGCTTTGGAGGTTCTGATCGTTTTCCCAAGACTATTTTTGGTCAATTTGGAAGTACAAATGTATAAACATTTCTCGACTGCAAGGCCATAATTTTACAGTACATTTATTTTTCCTTTTTTATGCAGTTCAACAAAAATATACCAATTTAATCAACAAATGGTTCATAATGTCCTATTTTAACCCATTATTATCGTGCTATCCTCAAAAGACCTAGTTCAGTAAAATAGGCACATGTGCTTAGCCCCTAGCAGTTAGCACCAAAGGCATAAAGAGCTACTCTTATTTAGTGCGATCCACTTTGAACTTAGTGTCACAACACTTTGGACACTTAGTCCCTAGCAGTTAGCACCAAAGGCATAAAGAGCTACTCTTATTTAGTGCGATCCACTTTGAACTTAGTGTCACAACACTTTGGACACTTAGTGTGAAAAGGCCTGCTTTATATATGTATAATATGCTCAGTGTTCAATTAAGCATTACTCTATTGTTCTGGTGCTTAGCAGGAAAATGCTTAGTAATCAATAACAACATGCTTTTTTGTGGCTTTTGCACTTAGTGTGAATGTATTCACACTTAGTACCAAAGGAACATAGAGAAGTCCTATACCTCTAAGCCCGTGGTTGGATTGAAGTTTAGTTAACATGCATATAAAACGTGAAAATAAGAAGCTATCATATCTTGCTTCCGTGTCAAATTCGTCAAGACGTGAATTATTGACGCGAATTCAAATACGCGGTAAGAGTCATGCGTTGTGGTTAAACTCGTGCTTAGTGTGAACTTGAGAATAGATCAGAATTGGAGTTTAACAAAGCATCTTCTGAACTCTTTCAAATTGGTTCAAGTCTTTTATGTTTTGACTCATCAAATTCATCACAATTCACATATTATAAGGACATCTCATACATTATAATTATGCATGGAAATCATCAACCATCAACATTCATCCAAACATCAAGGTCATTCATCAAGATCCCTAACATCAAGAAATTCTATAACATCATAAGCAACTCATCGAATTAATAATTGCTTCAACTCAAATAAATCAAACATCACATAAAAGCCTCAGGATATTCACAACCTTCCCAATAAACATGTAATTAAAATTCAACAAAAAATCACACGCCAAGGTTTGCAGGAGGCAACAAGACAATATAGTATTAGGGAAAAGAACCAAATTTAACCTTAATAACTCTTTAAAGAAATAATTGAACCAAGCCCGATACTTACTTTTAGTAAAAAATAGCCTTTGCTCATTAACCCCAAATTAACTATTATTTAATAAGATAATCACCTATACACTGCCAGTGTAAACTTTTTTTACACTGGCAACCAATCATATCTTTTAATAGTGTCATGTCAGTTACTTATTTAATGAAATAATAATAATAAAAAATAATTTAAAAGATATGATTGGTTGTCAGTGTAAAAAATTTTATACTGACAGTGTATGGATAATTAACTCTTATTTAATTAACATCCATAAAATAAACTATTTAAAAAATAATAATTAAATAGATATTATTTTTTTTAAGAAAACCAGGGTGTCACAGAAGCCATCTCCGTTGTCTTTTTCATCATCAAAGTTGTATTTCTCGTCATTGCTTCGATTCACTATTATCCGCCCCAAGCATCTTCCTTTGATCTCCATAGAACCCCATTCTTTTTTCTTAGTGTTTGGTTGGAGGTAATTGGAGGGGAGAGAGACCTTTTTAAATTTATGTAAGTGTACAAAGATAAATTAATTTTTAAAATTTCTTTTCTCTTCTTATGAACCAAAAAAAAAAAAGTTATGTATGAGAAAGACTTAACCTAAGCCAAATGTATAAGGTATAAAAGTAAATTAATTTTTAATTTTTTTTGTAGTGTTTCTCTTTATGTAAGAGCTAGGAAGACCTTACCTAAGCCGGTGTCTGGGCCCGGTAACAATTAGCAGCACAGCCTAAGTAGCAGTTAGAGGGGTGTGTATAAATGGGTCATGGCCTATAGAAGTGGACCATCCTCTATTATATGGTCTTTATATTAATCGACAAGGTTGGTATCCATTATATATATGTCCATGTTCTGTTTTTGACAAAAAAAAAGAGGTCCATGTTCTAAACAGTTTTTCTTCAACTTTTCTTTTCTTAAAACAGGAGGAGGTGGGGGTAGGGGAATCCATTTTGCTCTTTCGGCATCTAAGTGTTCTTCACTAATCATTATTAGTTTGCGATGATTATTGAGCCTGTAATGTCTTAATCAAGAAATCCACTTAACTGTGCATAAAGCAGCATCAGATGACCCACTTAGATCTTTCATTTGCACGCGGAAATGTCATTTCTTTGTAGATTAGGACTAACATTTCTTCCTATAAAAATTAAACCCGTAACCCAAAAGTGAAACCAAGCAAAGCAATTATTTTAGGAAGCATGTAATGAACAAACTTTTTTAGCTTTGCTATGCAGTCTATCCCTAAACCATTATTACAAAAAAAAAGGAAAATCCTATCATCAGTTCCTAAAGTTGATTAACCCCAAGCGTGTGGTTCAGCGGTAGGGGTTGATCCACGCTTAAACAAGGTCAGGGGTTAAATCTTGGGGCCATTGAGGTGCCTCCAACGTAGCGAGGAGATTAGTCACTGCTGTCGGCGGTGGATACTCCAGGGACGAAAAAAAAAAAAGTTGATTTTAAATATTTAAAAATGATATATTTTATCATAAACAAAACGAGAACTCATTACACTAGAAATAAGAAAAATGCAATAAATACTTTTTAATTAAAATTATTACTTTTAAGCGTTTAAATTCAACTCTAATGTTAACAAACTGTTGAACAAAAAATCTTCAGCTCGTTACTTCATGAGATCAGAAACAAAATGTTATCTCATGAGAAGAATAAGAATACCATTTCATTTATATATTATATAAGTAGTACCCATTTATTAAAACGGGCCACTAGATTTACCTTCTTATTATGCTCCTTTAGAGTAGGTGGGGCTCTCTTAAGTTAATACGTGACATATTAGCCTCAGGATTTGTCAAAGTTCGAAAACTGTTTAGCAATTGATATTCATTGACTTAACTTCATAGTGTAAAACCACAAATATCTATTTTAACGATCCCTGCTCTTTAATTATATTGCTTCTACCTCGCCCCAGTAGCAGTGGTAGTATGATTACCATCTGTCCTATATTCTCTTATTTTGATTAGAACAGTAACATAGCGTTTTTATCGTACCAAAATAGTGATCACAACCACTAAACCAATTAATAATAGAATTTTCAAACACTAAAAAGTATGCAATTCAACTGTTTGATTAAATAACACTTCATTAAAGTTCTTTCATTAAATGATTATCTACTTTAATTTCCTTCCAATCTTAATAACAAGTACGTGGAAAGACATGCTGGTGTGCTCTAGCTATAGGGAGTATTATGGACCTTAACATTGTAGGCCATCATTAGTGCCTTGTTTTAGCCTCAGTTTGTGTCTAATCTTGCTTTAATTTCTGGATCTTTGGAATATATTATTTGAGCTTTTGGGTCTTCGAGAAATAACTTGGTATGTTGTACATGCCCTCAAAGAAGTCTTGACCAATAATAGGTGTATACTTTAGATTTCTTTTATATATATATATATGTTACTGTAACCATTTTTTTCTTCACATCAATTGAAGCAAATATGATAATAAGTTGCCAGTGAAATATAGACATTTACTTTTTCTGTGTAAGCAACTTTTCCCATTTTCTTGTTGCCTTTCCTAATTTTTATTGCAATTTCCTTCTTAATTTTAAGTTTTTAGGGTAAATGATTTTTTCCCCATAAAGGGTATGATGATTAATTAATCACAATTGATTCAAACAACTAAATCAATAAAGAAAAAAACTAGTGATTAAACAAACCATTAAAAGAAAATGAAAACTGCATGTTTTTATTCAGTTAAAATGATTTTCTTCAATCCCCATATTCAAAACCAAACCAAAATAAAATGCAATGAACCGCAAGTGTACTAAATTTATGTTGGTTTTATAATGATACTCTCAAATAAGTTTGAGACTATTTTACCTTATAATTTAAAATTTAGTTCAAGCTGTGATTTATGATGAAATTTAATATTTTTTAATGTTTTTTCGTATTAATTATATATTTAACATTTTATTTAATACGTATTGTCCCTTTAAATAAAATATTAGCCATTAGAGAAATTCATGTATTACTTAGGGACTCTACTCTTCCTCTAATTAATTATTTCATTAGTTTGGTAACCAAAAAATAAAGTAGTTTCCTTGATTTTTTTTTTAAATGAATAGCACGAATTTAATTGTTTATTCTCATATTGTACGTGTGGTTTATATAGTTTCTCAATTGATGACTTCACTAACAATCCTAAGGGACTAAATTATCGGTCAGCCTTATTTTGCGGCTGTTTTGTAAGACTATTTTTAAAAAATTTGGAAATGTTATTTTTTGTTTCTGCAAATTACCCTGAACACCCTCCTCCCTCCACTAAGTAGACCCCAAATGAGTACTTCGAAAATGTGATTGAATCCTTATATGGATACCTACAAAAAGTATCTGTAATGTGCAGCAG